GAGCTCGCATGGCGAGTCCCGGTGGCAGGGCCGACTGCCAAAAGGGAGCGACCCCGTGATGATAGGCAGGCCGTGCTAGCGAAGCCTCCTATGCTGGTACAGCTCGAGAAGGACATCGAGGCCCCATGCCAGGTGGGGAATCCGCGTTGTATGGCGTTGCTGGGCCAGTGGATCCAGGCCTCGGCGTGCATGCGCTACGTGCACCTCACCAGAAGCGATGTACTCTCTATCACGAGGTCGACCGTGCATGCCTTTTAGCAACTTTTGCAGCAAAGGCAAGCAGAGGCTGGAGGAGAAACCGCAAAGGCTTCTATTTCGCGTCTGCGTTCACCTCGGGATGGGATTGGACGGAGCCATGGGTAAGGGCCTTCCAGCAGCTGCCGGCGTCCAGGCGATCAAAGCGCGGTTCGGGAGTCGACCCTAGCTGCCCAGGCAGTGTTTGCCAAGGCGCTCGATAAGCCGGAGGAGTTGACCTCCTATAGCCGGGTGGGGCCTTCGGTTGGTATGCTCGTCCAGCTGTCCCCAAACGAGCTCACGGCATTGATGATTGGCAGGATAAGCTGGCAGACCAGACGAGTGCTATGCCAGGCCACTGCTCGGCGATGAGTTAGGCACTTGGTCTGGGCGTACATGGGAGAGCTTCGCAGCTACCCCCCTGTCACGGCTGACAGCCTTTGCACCTCAATACCTGGAAAGGCGATGGAAAGGGCCTTCGAAGCCCATGCTCCCCGGAAGTTCACGATGCGCTGGCAGCCGGTCTGGTCGACCCCAAGCTGCTGTGGCCAAGCGAGCCCCTGTGACTCCGAAGCTGCCCTTGGCCGAGGCAAGGTCTAGGATGGGAAGAGGCTGTGCACTACAATTTGGCCGGCAAGCACCACGAGCCCGCCAAAGATTCAGAAGAGAGGTGCGGCTAGTGAGCCCAGCCGGCCGAGCCGCGTCGTGGCAGAGGAACCGGAGAGGAAACGGGGGCCGAAGTCGAAGGCCAGACCGCTCCTCTAAGGGTCGCCCGGGGGAGCCGAGGGCCAGCCCAAGTCCAAAGCCAAGCCGCAGGATCCGAAAGCAGCGTGCGCACCTAGCAGGCTAGGTTCGACACCAAGCTTTTCAGGAAAGCTCTAAGAAGCTAACTTAATGGAGCGAGTATCTGCAACATTGCAAGCAAACCTGCATGGATTTGTGTCGCCGTGCAGCTTCGCGCGGGCTCGTCTCGGGCTGAAAGCTCAAGCAAGCAAGGGCTTGGTAACTTCCCCCTTTCGCCACAAGACAGATTAGATTTGCATGATGGTGCAGGTTCCACGTCACTTTAAGAGCTGAACCTGACAAGTGCGTGGAAGCTAGGTTCGAAACGACACCCATCAGGGAAGCTTCAACAAGCGAACTTATGCCACAAATGTCTGCAACATTGCAAACAAGCCTGCATGGATTGCATGAGTTCTGCTGCCGCACCGCGGCCCCCCGGAACCCCGAAGCTATCAAACACTTGACACCACAGACTAACATAACCAGCAAATCACAGCAATCACAGCAGTCTTCAAGGTCGAGATGTCTTTGGCTTTAATGCGACAGCCCTAAACGGAAATACAAAATTACAGTAGCATAAGTACTGCGAAAAAATAACACTAGAATTTGCAATTCCTTGCAGATATACATACATCCCATACAAAACACACCCAAAATCATGAAATACTGAAGATCATAATAACCACCACAATAAAACCAACAATCCCGGCAAAATCCTATGGACTTCCAGAGCCTTATCATAACTCAGAAGCATAAAGCCCTCGAGACTTGAGATGCCGGCCTAGCGAACCGGCCAGCGCGAAATAACCTGCAATTTAATCTTAAAAATGGCGTACGTTCCTGCCCGGAGTCAAACCCACAGAGAGCATGTAAACAAACTTACAATTTTGCTACCCAACCAACCTCGCGACATCCCCTGCGCACCTTGACCACCGACAATCAGCTAAGCTTCCGCACAGGTGTTGCCACCGCAGCAGTCAGCGAAAAAGCTGCAACCTGCTCTTTGCAGTCGTTTGCTCTAGCTTTCGTAGCCCAGTTCTCAAGTCTTGGATTGAGGGACGGTTCCGAGTTCGGCCATGTCCTCACTTTAACAAGGTGCCAGATCTCTGTTGCAAGATAGCAATGAAGAGCAGACAGACACGTTGGCACGAACTTGTGTAGGCGGAAATGCTATGCAATTGTGAGGTCGAATAGTGACGAGATAACTTGTCCATGAGGTGGGGCCAATGATGTTACAAAGCAGGTCATGGCGTATACCACATGAATACACACACACATATTCATTTGTTTTTTCTTTGTTGTTTTACATTTTGGCCTTCTACCTCGCTCTCCTTCTTGGCTTCCTCTCGCCAGATGCATTGCCCTCAGGAAGAGACGGCCTGGCCCCAAGCACATCCCTTATCCAGTCTAGTCATTCCGCTTCCTGGGGAGCTCACACGGGCACCGTGTGCAAGCATGCCAGGTCACGACCAGGGAGATTCCTGTGCGACAGGGTCTGCTTTCGTTTGTTTGGCCGTGCTGGAAAGCTCAACCGAGTACTTAGCAGAAGTGTCTCCAATTTCGATTTTAGCTTCATCGTGCAAGGAACAACAGCGAACTGTTGATTTTTCGTTTGGGCTTGTTGGGCTTAGCTGCAAAGGCGCTAGGAAAGCATTGACTCGCGAACGACTTCAGCGAAGCAGCATTCTTTGCTCACGAGGTCCACCCTCAGCTTCCAGGAAGAACAAATTTGCGTGAAGCGCGGGGCAACCTGTTTCACGGGAACTAGACATGGCAGCGGCAGCGATGCCGGCTTGGTGACGGCCCAGCTTCACGGCTGTGCTGGCCGCCATCGTGGCGATGTCCAGCATTGCCCATGTAGACAAAGATAATGTCCTTGGCATGCATGTTGCCACAACAACCTGCAGCTTTGTGTGGCATGTGCATTGCAAGGTTTTTTCTCCATACAACTTGCATCCACGAGTGACGTAGGAGTCTTGTCTTGGTAGCCAGAGGCTTGGCATGAGCCCATGTCTGTCTGTAGCGGCATGTACAACAAGCACCGATTGAGAGCTCCACAGCCATCTATGCCCAGGGTCACTGCTTTGGGTTTGAGGCCCGTGCGTCATGAGGCCGTTTCGATACCAGACGCTGACAGAATCAGAAGATGTTGAAGCTTTGGACGATCCAAATGTACCAACATGCCAGTCAAGAACGGGCCGATTGCTTTCGTGTTTGGCGCTCCTGCAGTTGACGATTATGGTAGTGTTTGCCGTAAGAGCAAGCGGTGGAGGCCCTGTGCATGCACTTCGAGACATCGGAGTTCGCGACATAATTCAGAAATTTAGCATCTTCCAGTTCAGCATGGCTATGTATGAAAACGAATTTGGAGACACGGATCCGTTTCAGTTCAGATGCCCAGTGCCGGGGACTATTGCGGGTGGCAACGACAACATGACTTGCTGCAGGACTTACAACAACAAAGGCTGGCCCTTCCAGTTTCGAGAGTGTCAAGCCTTCGGGTTTTGCACGACTTGCTGGGTTGAGACGGAGAAAGCATCCATGCAACAGCACCCTGCTATTGAGTTTGCGGGCGCTTCTTGGGCGGCAACTATCAGTGTCATGAACAAAGCGGAAGCAAAATCCGGGTGGCTAAGCCAGAATTTGCAGAATGCCTTTGGCAATCTCGGTGTCTTGTCCAAAGACAAGGTCGATGATGCACCAGTACGAGGCAGTTCGATGCAGGTTAGAATAAGCAGGGGCATCATGAAGGGAGAGACCGACTCCTGCCCGGGCATAGATGATTGGCACATCGACATGCTGAATGAAGACAAAGAAAACATTCACGCACGAGTCTTTAAGTCACCACGAACAAAGCTGGCCATTGTTGCCTTTCGTGGTACACAGTTCAAGTCCATGAAAAATTGGGAGGTTGATGCTGACATTCAGAGAATACCACTTCACCTTCCAAACGGCAATGTCACGTACGTGCACGAAGGCTTTCTGAAGGCTTTGGAGCACATTCTACCTCACGTGAAGAGGTGGGTAGATGGTTACATCTTCGGACTCTTCCAGGCCGTGCCGTCGGACTGGAAGCTGATTTTTACTGGCCACAGTTTAGGGGGAGCACTTGCGCTTCTGGCGGCCACGAAAAGCTTCGCGGAGCGTTGGCCTAGGACACCGGAGGCCGTGGTGGTTTTCGGTGTGCCCCGTTTTGCAGACGCGGCCTTGGATCACTGGTGGCAGCAGAACAAGCTGTGCCAGCACCTTGTCCGTGTCAACACTTACAACGACATGGTGCATGTCATGCCTTTTCAGAAGATGTGGAGCGCTTTGAATGTAGCGACGGGTGCTTATGACTGCTTCACTCGACCTGTGAACTGCATAAGACAGTCCACGAAGCATGTGCAGCATGCTCTTGCTCATCACTCGGACGGACTTGGTTTGATTATTAGTGATCAGTGGTCACACGTGTGTCCCCAGAGTGAAATTCTGGTGCCAAGCCGCGTGAAGGGAGTCAACGAGCAACTCGAGGAATTATCATTGTTCGGAGGTGTCCTTTCTCATCTGAATGAAAACTGCCTGTACGGATACATCTACGGAGTGCTGCACAGCAACATTTCGACTTTTGACAAATATTGCAGAGTTTCGCCGTCCGTCTGTGCGAATCTGACACATCTTGGACCATAATCTGCCAGCCCAGATGATGCAGGGCACGGAGTGTACTGTCAGCGGCATGGGAGCTGTTTCACAACCATGGCCCACCATGGACCACCATGACTCGGAAGAACAGGCTTGAGATTAAGCTTGGCTTGTCCCAGCTGAGGAGAAGATGCAGCGTGGCATTGATTGAGTTGCTATCTTTGCGTTTGGCTCAGGGGAGTAGTTCGGTCCCTTGGCCCGGCAACCCGAATACCGAGTTGCTACAGCCAGTTTCACGACACAGGGTCTAAAATTGCCCCTGTATCCCTGTAGGATGCGAGAGCAGTCGCTGTGAGGTTTGCATGGCACTAGCAGCTTGGTGGTTTTTATCCTTCATGGGCTTTTGCAGATATTTTATTTCAGATGGAGGTCGTTCGAGCAATTGCCCAAGTTCTAGATTGGATGGCCTTGTGTCCACGCGCCTTTCAGCCATCCCAGGCACTGCAGAGTGTTCCCCGGCGTTCTAGCCGGGACGGTCCTGTAGACGGGGAGGCGCAACATGGACTCCGAGCTTTACAAAAAAACTGTTGGATCTCTGTGCCAATGTTCAGGCTGATGTTGCCAAGCCCAGCTTTCGACGACCGCGACATGCGTTCATTCCTGAGCCGTCTGCTTGGCGATGATCCCGAGCTTGGGCATCTCTGCTGAGGTTTGGGAACAGGCACTTGCTGGCCTTTCGAAAGAACCAATTCTCAGAGTTGGTTGAGAGGACCGCCTGAGGCTAAATTCCAGGATTTTCTTCAGGTTGCCTCGAGCTGTCGGTTTCCAAGGTCGATGCGCTGAAGAGCAACCTAGTTGAGGTGGAAGAAGCCTGTGAAACTCGAAGTTGCCAGCAGCAGCAGCAGCAGCAGCAGCAGCAGAGTGCCACGCAGGCGTCTTTGCAGGATGTGCAGAATGTGCTGGCCAAAATCCGAATCTTGGCTAGCAGATATCGCTTGATTTCACATCGGAAGTCGGCAATACTCAGGAAGGCAATTCGACGAGGTTCGCTGTGAAGCTGACAGGAAGGAAGCCGAGCTGTGGCTCGGATCAACATCTTGTCGGAATCTCCGAAGCTTCGCTGCGGGTCTTTGCCTGCAGGGTCACCCTCCGCCAAGAGATTCGTTTCTGGGAATCGGAGGCAAAGCCTCCCGAGGAGAGACGGAAAGGGGCCGGGCCTTCTTTGAAAAGGATACTCTGTGCTGCCTGTGCTTTTGCGGAAGAGGAGCAGGATCACTACAACGGCTTTGTTCGGAAGTCCGTCGTGGAGAAGCTTGGCCAGGCCGTGCCATCCTTTCCGATCCGCAGTCAATAGTCATGTTTGCATTCTTCGAAGCCGTTTCAGGCTTCGACCGAGCTGGACCAAGCTCTCGAGACGCAGAAAGTCTACCAGCACATGGCGAAGTCCCTACTGCAGCAGCTCATGACCTGGCAAGGAAAAAATTGAGGCGCTTGAGCTGTAAGCTTGGAGGTTGAGAGGTTGCTGCGGGAGCAACGAATCCTGGAGCAGAAGGCCATGGCTTCAGCAGGCACCTGTCGGACTTGGCATGGAAACGCACAAGCTGCCAGGTGCTGATGATGGAGAACTATCTGGACCGGAAGACACGAGAGGTCACGCAATTCTGGGAAGATAGGAAACTATCAGATTTTGCGACATCCGTAAGAGGGATTGCAGCCTGTGCTCAATTCACGACTAATGCTGGGAATCTGATGCACCAAGCAGCCTCAGCGTGGCAACTCAGGCAGCTTCACCTTCTCGAGTAGTAGTGTAGGTCTTCAGCACGCTCATCGCCTCTCAGTTTCTATTTGTTGTGCTGACTTGTTGCAACATGACTTGTTGCAACAGGTCGAAGCCAAGCAGCACTTCAGCCGCCGCATCAATGAAGACAAGGCACATGCTTGTGTGTGCAGTGCGCGTGTGTGCAGATGCGCTTGTGTGTGTGTGTGCGCGTGTTCGTGCGCACAGATCTTTCAAAATCCGCTGCTTTTGATTCAGGCAAGGATTAGACCTTAGAGGGTCCTGTTATGATATGAGTCATATGAGGTATGTTCCGGACCTGAGTGTGTATGTGCCCTGGTTTGAAGAGGAGTCTGAAAAGTAGCCGTCTATGGTAGACGTCCAGAGACCCCTGTCTTCCCCTATTCGTTTCGGATATACCCCTATATGTCGACCATTCCCTCCACCATCCTCCACCTATACATGCACCTGTCAATGTCACCTCTCCGTAGCTGGGTAGACCCCCTATCAGTAAGGCCTGTCTTTGACTAGGAGAGACCCCTATCCATAGGCCCCCGCCCAACTCTGTGATAGTCCCCTTCCCCCACAGGTCCCATGTGCCCAATGTTGCTAGCTGTCAGCGGTCCCGGAGCCCGTTGCGGTTTCGGGTTTAGGGCTCAGGGTTTAGGGTCTTGGGTTTAAGGTTTAGGGTTTACGGTGATCACATTTCTTTTGCCCGCCCCCTCTCTTGGCGATCCAAGTCAATCACATATCTTAAGCTCGCCCCCTCCTTTGGCGATCCCGGTGCATCACATGTCTTAAGCATGCTCCCTCGTTGGGCGATCCCGGTTGATCACCTGTCATCAACCCTAAACCCCTCAGCTTTGGCGAGCCCGTTTCAACACATGTCTTAAGCATGTCCCCTCATGAGGCGATCCCGGTCGATCGCATTTCTTAAGTCCCCGCCCCTTAATTTCGCGATCAAGGTGTCTTAAGTTCGCTCCCTGCTGTGGCCATGCCGATCCGTCAGATTTCTGAAACTCGCCCCCTCTTTTCGCGATCCCGGTTATTTGCATATCGTAAACACGGCCCCTCTTTTGGCGGTCCTCATCACATTTCTGAAACATCCGTTCATTACCTATCTTAAATCCGCCCCCTCAATAGGAGATCCAGGTTCATCACATATCTTCAACTCGCCCCCTCGTTTGGCGATCCCGTTCATCACATATCTTAAACACGCACCCTCATTAGGCGATCCCGGTTGATCAAATTTATTAAACTCACCCCTCCTTTCGCGATCCTGACTCATCGCGAAATCATCGCAGGGTTTAAGCGCGCCCCTTATTAGATCATTAGGCGATTCCGGTTGATCACATTTCTTAAGCATGGTCCCTCATTTGGCGATCCAGGTTCATAACATATCTTCAACTCGCCCACTTCATAACAAACAAAATGCGCACCGTCACTAAGCGATTCCTGTTGATTGTTTTCCTGCATTTGTACCACCCTTTCGGTGCAGTGGCACTGGAGCTCTTGCGGACGATTGCGTTCAGAAGCATCATATCCTTGTCGTTGTCGTCATCATCATCATCAGCATCATCAGCAGCATGGTACGCGTCATCATCGTCATTACTTTGCATGCACCTGCTAGCACAAATCAGGCACCATGTTGACCAGTTTTGATGTGTGTGTGTGTGTGTGGGTGGGTGTGTGTGTGTGTCGCTCGCTCTCTCTCTCTCTCTCTCTCTCTCTCTCTCTCTCTCTCTGTGCATGGGTTCTGAGAGCCCTGAGGTGGAACAGATTGTCAAGTTGGAGATGCTTGAGCAGGACGGTTCAGCAAGTGTCCGCAGTCAGATATTAAGAGATTTTTCCGAGCTGTTAAAAGGCTGTTTGGCCGGACCGGCTGTTGTCAAACGAACACTATGCGGGAAGGACATGGATTTGGAACGCACAGTGCGCACAGCCGCGATGAGTGACCTGTCGGCGGCCGTTGAAAGGCCGAACTGCCTCGCCGTATCTATTGTCCAACCCGATGCTGAGAACTGCAACGCAGACTGTTGCTGTTTTTGAAAGGCGCCGTCACGATGTCAACGAGGCTGAGTACTTCGAAACCTGGCGGTACGAAGCTGCACTCGAGGCTTTGGTCTCCTTGAGCCTCGACTTTTCATTAATGCCCGAATGTGCAGGCCGCAACTGAAGCCTTTGAGGCAACGGCTGGGCGCTACAGGACGATTCTGCTTTGCATGCCACGAGCTACAGATCAGTCATGTGTGCACGATAGCGCGACAACACAACGAGGCTGACATGTCACTTACATTGCCAAAAATTGTCACAGAATGGCCGATCAACGGAAACCGCGCCACCAAAAATGTGTCGAAATAACATGCTATTGTACAGAGCGGCAGTTCAGGCAGTGTGCATTGCACGAGGCTTCAATTTCCACTCAGTCAGAACTACATGAGCCAATTTTCCGAAAGCGTGTGCTCGGGCCTCTCGGGGCAGACATGACTCGCTCGGCTTCGAACAACGAGACTATCTACAACATGTGCCCCAGAGCTCTGCGGCTCGTCACGATTGGGGTCAGAGATACAGTTAGCTGATCGGCATTCATGGCCAGAGTCTCTGCGACGACGGAGTTCTGCAGTAGTTTCTTGTGGTGCAGCTTCCCGCCAGCACACTCGCTGGAAAAGCGATTCGTGGTCGAAGAGTTCCATCAAGATTCCGAGCATGAGCAGAAAACCCTCAGGCTTGCGGGCGTTGCAAGCTTTCTAGCGCTGTGCCAGGAAACGGCTCGGGGAAAGGCGTGCGGCGCCCGCATGGAACCAGAAAGCACGGACAAAGGTCAGGTATCGAATCACGACCTGCAGCTCTACTCGGCTCTCCGGGAAGGTTTGACGTCGTCAACTTTCCGGTTGTCTGACTAGGAATTCAAACATCGTATACATGCATCATTCTCATCAAGCGGAGGGTGTTACGTAGACTGCTGGTGGTGGAAGCCCACCAACTTACTGAAATTTGATGGTGCCGCCTATCTTCACATCATTTAATCATGTGGGCTCATATCGTTGCTGTTGGGAGGGCCACGCTGAGAGTGCAGTGCTTGCGCCTGCGTTTGAGCTTCTCACGAAAACCCGGAGCGACAAAAAGCAGGATCGCTTACTGTGTCAGTAGTTTTGAGCTGAACGCCCTGTCAAATCAAGAAACTTCAATAAACATCGTCGGAATCAGGATGTTTGCTCCACAGGGGCCCTACATTTCACAGGCTTTCTTTCCCTACCCTGGAAGTCTGGCTACGTTGCATGCACTGGTCCTGGGAAAGGCATCACTTCTTCGAGATGTCAACGCGCCGGCGTGAAACATTTGGGACACACGAGTCGCTCTAACGAAGTGGCGGAGTAGATGTCAACATAATATGCCGCACCACCCTTCGTCGGCGTGTGTTCGTGCCACACCACGTGGTCCTACTCGAACATTGCACATCTTCTCGAGGAAGATCTACGCCATCGAAAAGCTCACAGGCACTTTGAGCTGGAGCTGAGATTTTGGGTTGTAGTCAGCCACCGAGGCAACTGCTTGCAACGTCTTACTTTCGATCAAGCAGAACAAAGCCAGGCAAGTCAAGATGGGTTCTATGCACCCACCATGCATGTGGTAGACAAGGCACCGCTCGTCCAACAGGCAACCGAGGACGGATTTCAACGCATCCGAGAAGTGACTGGCTTGACCGATGTTATGGAGATCGTGCAAAAGTTGAAAGCTCAGACTGCTGGCACAAGTACAGCGGCGATGCGCAATGCTGTGGCGCCACTCTGCAGATTCCTGCACCGCGAAGATGAGCACGAGCAGTGCCCAGCTTTAGTTGAGTATGCTTGGGGTTTTGTCCGATGCTTGTGTTTTCTCAGACCTCAGGCACCTAAGCCCTCGGGACGGTTTTGGTGTTCCCAGGTTGAAAACTACTGTCAGAGAAGCGGAAGCCCGGCTCCACCAACTGCGTGAGGAGGAGGCCCGCAATCCGCAATGGCTCGCTATGGCACCGTTCGCTGACAGCGTGAGCCGAGGCCAGTCGCCCCTGCGAAGATGCGGCGTCCTGAGCATTTCAGCTGGAGTTTTGCGAGTGGCACTGACTGCCTAGCTGCCTGGCTGGCTGACCATCTCCATCTCAACCTCCACTTCCATCTCCCGCTCCACCTCCAGCTTCACCTCCCTCCACTTCCATCTTCATCTCCACCTCGACTTCCATCTCCCGCTCCACCTCCAGCTTCACCTCCACCCCCGGTCTCAGCTCCGCCCTGCCTGCACCCTTCATCATTATATATTTTTTGGCATCCGTTATGCTTTATTTCTTTGTCTTAATCTTCTTCACTATGCTCAAGTCCATTTTTGAACATACTTTACACAAATTACCTTATTAATTTCCACATTAGTGCACCTCTATCATTTTTACACAAATGTTCACAAACTTTCCATAATTTATGGAAAATATGTTCATTCTTCATCTTTCATTTTTCAGTCCCTTCTGTTTTCTTAACACACACTGTTTATATTGTAATATTTGTCGTTTTTTGTTGTTTGGGGGTTTTTTGTTCATGAAGTATTTTTGATGTAGTTTTTTGTTGTCGTCACTGTTTCTTTTTTTGTCGGGTTTTAGGTAAAATTTTATGTGCAGGTTTCTGTGGTGGCTTGTCTAGTGCTAGTGATATTTAGATTTAAAATATTTTGAATGCAGACCTATGAAAATACTTGCTTTCTGCGCAAATTTCTTTATCTGATGTCATATCGTCGATTGCATTGTTTAAGTCTTCTTCAGTCAATATGTTATATCGTCTTGAACGAAAACTAGCTACGAAATTTTGGTCTTCATCTTTCTACAGGCATCAACAAATAGTTTCATATTTCCATGTTTGTTTACATATAAGTTTGACAATATATTTGAGACAATCCTGCATAGCCTAATTTTTGAATATTTGTTATGGCATATGTGTTAGCATAGGCTTCAAAGCTGTAAAACCTCTAGTTCTTGTTCCGTATGTTGATACAGTGTATGGTTTTAAAGCCTTTCTTACTGCTGTTCCCTTAGCTGCTTTATCTAATATTTTCGATTTGTTCTGGTCTAATTATGAGTGTTCCTGAAAAAGTTTTTTTTTTAATGGATTGTATGGGTATATTCTATGATCTATAATAACTTTTTTTACTTGTTTACCCTCTTTTTTGTTTTTATTTTGCCTACGTATTACAGATTTTTGCTTGGTTCCTGTCCATATTACTATAGTTTTTTTATGTCTTTGGTAAGGTTGGGGCTATCCATACCATGTAAGGGGGCCTCCCTTTAAGAAGGGGTCACTGGCCCTCCTAGGGGGTTGCATAGGGGGACAGGCATCACTCACAGAATTTGTGAGTGCTACTCTCGGGTTTTGTGAGCGCTACTCTCGGGATTAAGCGAGTAGTGAAAGCATTCTTTCTGGTCAATCACCTTGAAACTATGTAAAGAAGTAGCCCTATAATATCATATGGAGACTTCTGACCTGAAGCCATCTACTCAATCTTTTTTCTAAATGCCAAGGGTAAGAGGAGAAGAAGAACATTTTAAACCAGAGCGCGAGTTATGCAACGAATGTTTTGAAGAAAAGAACCATATATAGAGAAGAGCAGGGAACAGTTAAGACAGAAAGCCAAAGAACATTATAATAAACATAATGAAGAAATACTGAGCAAGAAAAATGAGCCAGTTGATTGTTGGTTTGTCATTGTAAAATAGCAAAATGTAAGTGGGAAAGACATTTACTCAAAGTTAATGATGATTATCTTGAACAAATGCAAGCCAATAATATACATATATATATATATGGTACCCCCCCCTCAGTTATCTACCGTGT